TATAGAGATAGATCAGGATAACCTGAGCCGCTCTAACTAGAAGCTTTATCAAAAAGGAAAGTCATATCACATATAATGTATTTAATATTATATGTTATATACATTATATAACAACATATATTTTCAGTTCAAAATACTTTAATTTTCCACCACTGGATGATCTGTGTTAGTTTATTTATTGAATGTTTTGTTAATAAAGTCGTAGCTCTGTCTTTAAATGATGATGATGTTTAGTTTTCCTGTTAAGAGTCCAGCTGGTTCTAAACTGACCCCAGAACTCTCCTGTTCCCACTCAGACCAGTACAAACCCCCGGTGGCCCACAGAGACCTGACCAGCAGGAACGTCCTGGTCCGATCCGACCTGTCCTGCGTCCTGGCTGACTTCGGCCTGTCCATGAAGCTGACGGGAACCAGAAGCTGCCGGCCCGGAGACGACGAGACCGTGGCCATATCCGAGGTCCGCTCCCAGCGCCGCTGGGTCTAACGGGAGGAGGTTAGTTAAAGTGGGCGGAGCTAACCGGTTGTGTTTTGTAGGTGGGGACAGTCCGGTACATGTCCCCGGAGGTTCTGGGAGGAGCTCTGAACCTCAGAGACTGCGAGTCGGCACTGAAGCAGGTGGATGTTTACGCTCTGGGTCTGCTGCTCTGGGAGAGCTTCAGGAGGTGCTCCGACCTGTTCCCAGGTAGGCCCCGCCCCCAGCGCTACCTCCAGGCCAACCGCATGGCACTCAGCCTCACCTGTGCTTCCCGTTCAGGTGACACCGTCCCTGATTACCAGCTGGCCTTCCAGGAGGAGGTGGGGAACCATCCCACCTTTGAGGACATGCAGATCCTGGTGGTCCGTGAGAAACACCGACCCAGATTCCCTGAAGTCTGGAAGGAGAACAGCCTGGTCAGAGTCCCTCTGCGTTCCTATTGGCTCCTGGCCGACCAATCGGAACCTCTGCTTTAGTTCTGCCTTAAGCTGCAGCTGATGGAACCCTGGTTGTGTTTTAGGCCCTGCGGGCGCTGAAGGAGACCATGGAGGACTGCTGGGACCACGACGCCGAGGCCCGACTGACGGCGCAGTGCGCTGAGGAGCGGCTGGCCGACCTCATCCTGCTGAGCCCTCAGACCGCGCTGCACAACCACAGGTAGCGCCGTCCATCAGTTATTATGGGTCAGCAGCAGGCCGTGGTTACAGGTGTTATTACATCATCATGACATCATGAGGACCTTCTGTTCTCTGATTGGTCGATTTGTTGCGGGTTTTTCAGGAATCTGACTCACAGCTGCTGGACGCCTCAGATTAGCTCCGTCTCCTCCTACATTGAGGATCTTCAGGTGGGCGTGGTTAAAAATCTCCACGGCGACGGTCACGCCAGAGCAGAAGGTGGAGAGAAGAACAGCAACTGCTACAACCAGCAGCGGCAGCAGGTGGAGGTTCTGATTCTGACCCGTTAGATACAGACCTTAGACAGAAACCTCCCTGACTCCGCCCCCTCTCTCTATCTCTTTCTGAATAGACTCAGGCTCGCCCGCCCCCATCAAGCTACAGCATCTCTGATCTCAGAGGTAACTATGCTAGCAATGCTATGCTACATATTCTGCGCTAGGCTAGCACTGCTCCACTAGGCTAGACACGCACTGAGCTAGGCTTGCAACACTACACTTGGCTAGCTATGCTATGCAAAGCTAGAACCCCTATGCTAGGCCAGCAACGCTACATTAGGCTAGCAATGCTATACTAGGTTAGCAATGTTACACTAGGCTACCTATGCTATGCTAGGCTAGCTAAGCTATGTTAGGCTAGCACCACTATGCTATGCTAGCAATGCTACACTAGACTAGCTATGCTATGCTAAGCTAGCACCCCTATGCTAGGCCAGCAATGCTACATCAGGCTAGCAATGCTATACTAGGTTAGCAATGCTACGCTAGGCTGCCTATGCTATGCTAGGCTAGCTATGCAAGGCTAGCTATGCTATGCTAGGCTAGCAACACTATGCTAGTCTAGCTATGCTACGCTGGGCTAGCAAAGCTATGTTAAAAGGAAAGCAACCTCCCTGCAGTAGCTCTAACTGTGCCTCCATCCTGCAGGGGGCGCTGCTGCTGCTGTCTGCCTGCAGCTCACAGAGGAAGACCTGGACGCCTCCAAGATGGATGCCCAACAGGTTGCACCCTTCTCTTCATCCTCTGCTCCTCCTCTTCCTCACCAGACCAACATCTGGAAACATCTGTGTCTGCAGGTCCAGAAGAACCTGAGAGAACCCTCCCAGGAGAACCTGGTGGAACATTCCCAGAAGCGCTTTGGATCGGTACCACAGACCTCCTACCTGAACCACAGCATGGAGGTGAAAGTTCTGCAGAACATCCAGAACCTGAGGGTCCTGTCTCTAAAGGCTTTAACATAAGCTCTGTTGGTTCTGCAGGCGACCCGTCCAGAAGAACCAGAACCTTCATCCTCTATACAGCAGCAGAACCTTCCCCAGAGGCCCACCAGCCTCCAGCTGCTCCCCAAACCCAGAGAGACCCGAGTGAAGGCGGGAAGGTTCAGGTCCAACCACCGACAGGTAGAACAGAACCATCAGAACCAGACAGAATCATCAGGTTCATTAGAACCAGAGATAACTTTATGTAACCAATCAAAGATCAGAACCAGGCAGCAGATGATGAACCTAAATCTGACATCATCACAGAGTCAAGCTCAGTGATTGGCTCACAGCCAATGACCCGGTAACCAGGATGTTCTGTGTTGCAGGTGGAGACCGGAGTGGCTAAGATGAACGCCATCATCCCGTCTGCAGAGCCACACCTGGTTACCACGGTAACTAACCTGAGGAGCGGCGCCACCATCGGGTCGGAGGAGCTCGGTGCTGCCGCTGGCCACAACTCAGGGGTTCCTGTTCTGGTGACCAATAGGATGAGAGGAGGAGGAAGAAGCAACCCTGCAGGACCCAAGGAGGAAGAGGAGGAGGGAGGAGGAAGGGAAGGAGGAGCAGACAGTGTGGACCTGACCTTCAGTCCTGATGAACATGAACCTCTGCTGAGGAGAGAGCAGCTTCCTGCTGAGAGCGACCCTCCTCTTCCTCCTCATCCTCCTCATCCTCCCGGCCCGCCGGGCCCAGCAGGACCAGGATCCAACTCCAACAACAACAACAACCGAGCCACCGTCGGTCCGGAGCTCCCTGAGCCGGAACCGCTCAGCGGACCTACAGCATCAGGGACCAAGCAGAAAGTTCTGCATTCTGGACCAGAACCGTCCATCCGTCCTGCTGACGGAGATGAAGGTCCAGATCAGACAGAAGCAGAAGGAGGCCTACAGAACCAGAACTCAGGTTCTGGAGCCTCCAAGTCCAAAGTCCAGACATCAGAACCCTCCAGAGTTCTTCAGAACCAATCATCTCCACCTCTGGACGTATCCGCCTTGGAAGCCAAGGCTCTGGATCCGGACCCAGCAGAACCTGCAGAGCCTCAAACAGCGGGTCTGCTGGCGGCGCCACTCCGACAGACCAGAACCAGGCGGCCGGAGCGGCCCTGTTCCCTGGACCTGTCCTCCTCCTGCGTCTCCTCAGGTGGGTCCACCTCCAATGGTTCTGGGTTTTCTGTGCAGCTTGTCGCTCGGGTGGCTCTGGTTCTGGTTCTGGTGTCCAGGTCCTGCAGGACCTGACGGTCTGTGTTCTCGTTCCAGATGACGCCTCTCTGATGGACCTCGGCAGCCTGAGTGCCAGCGGAGAGAAGATCAAGCGGCGGGTGAAGACGCCCTACACCCTGAAGAAGTGGCGCCCCGCCTCCTGGGTGGTCTCCTCAGAACACGACCTGGACCTGGAGTTCGACTTCCGGGACGGCGGCGGTCCAAACAGAGCAGGAGGCGCCGGCGTGCCCAGAATCAACCAGTCCAAGTCCAGCATGGCCGTGTTTCTGGTCGGAGGCGGAACCACGGCGACTGCCACCTCAGAGCCGGACGGGCTGACCCGGTTCTGATCACAGACATCTGAAGAGAAGCGGACAGAACCGGACTGCGGCTCACAGAGGAGATCCTGCAGCTGCATCTCCTCTGTGAGCTCAGCAGGAGGCGCTGCAGGCCGCGTGGAGAGGTGGTCTGAGAAAAGGAGGATCTGGACCTCAGGACCGGATTCTTCTCTGGGTTTCAGACAGAACCGGCCTGACTGGAAGGTTCTGAAACCGATCAATGTGGGATTATAAAGCTCTCTTCTGATTCGCCGGCCAGGTGGTGGGCGTGGCCAGTTTTTAAAACAGCTCTGAGTCATAAAGGGAAAGGTGTCAAAATGTTTTTAAACTTATAAAGTTGAAACTTAAAAAAATATAAGTTGACTTTGATTTTCCAATTTTTAAATTATAATCTGAGAAAATAAAAAAGCAAACATAAAATAAGAAGAATTAAATTTAAATTCTTCTGCTCAGCTTGAAAAAAAACTCATAATTCAGTTTAGTATTTTAATTACACTTTTTCTTTTTTAAATTTTTTTATTGCAGTTTTTGATTTTATATTTTCTGATTCAAATCCCTTTTTGTCCGCTTATGTTTCTTTTTTCAGTTTCAGGATTATTATTTATTTTTACAATTTCAAATCAGTTTTATTCACATTCAGATTTTAACCCTAATCTGAGGGAGTGGGCGGGGAAACATGATTGACAGCTTGCAGCAGCGCTGGAGAGATGTCCTGTTCCATGTTGCATTTAAGGACTGTTGGAACTCCAACTACTGAATTAACAGCTTCTCTGCAGCATTTATTGGCCTTCTTGGCAAAATCTTATAAAAAATATCACGTGCAAGACATTTAAACTGGAAATAAAGTGTAATTAAAATATTAAACTAAATCTAGATTCAATCATTATTTTTTTATGTTTGCTTTTTTAGTTTCTCACATTATAAGATGAAAATTTGAAATTAAATATCAACTTCTATTTTTTTCTGTTTTAACTCTAAGCTGACAAACATTTTGACCCTTTTCTGACTCCGTACTGAACATTTCCTGGTTCTGGTGTCGGATCAGGAGTTCTGACCCGCCTGCTGTAGTTACTCACTTCCTGTTTGACCTCCTGGCTAAAGGCTGCAGGGTTCTGACCGGTTCTGGTAACATCAGGTTCAGTTTAGCGTCACAAATATGGTTCCCTTCTATCCTGCGTTACCATGGCAACATAGAGGAGCCGTCACCAGGCAGAGATGAACTGCTTTTATCAGATATATTGACCGGCTGCGTCCAGCAGGAGGCGCCGGCTCTTCTTCTACATTCAGTGGAACAGAAATGTTGATTCTTTCATGTTTTCTCCACAGTGACCCCTGCAGGCCTCAGCTGTCAGTGCGCCATCATTAGCCTCTGATGGCTCAGTTTGGCTCTGATGTCATTTCCTGAAATATAGGATGTTCTGGTTGTGATCCAGTAGAGACCAACGTCTTCGGTTCCAGCGGTTCTGAAGCAGCGAGGCAGAACTTTCTGCTCCATTTGGACCTTTGTCTTCTCATTCATTGATAGGAATAAAGGTCCAGATGGAGTTTGGGTTTCAGTTGGTGGTTCTGAACATGAACGCCAGCAGTCCAAAGACGGGTTCAGCTCGTGTCAGAACCTCAGAGGTCCGATTGGGTCGGGCTAAAACCAATTAGAGTCCACCATTTAAAACAAACAATGTAAAACCAGTCAAACCAGCAGCAGGACCGATCTCCATGTTCTGTTCTTCAGGGTCGGGTTCTGCTGATAAGATGGATCAGAACCTCTGTTCTGATCACGTTTTATTTATTAAAACACTTTAGATCCAGAGTTACTCAGCTGCTCCTACTGGAAACCCTGAAAGGAACTTCAGATCGGTTCTGGTTCTGGTTCTGATCATCGGTTGAACCCGTTTCAGTGGCTCTTCCAGCTGCTTCCTGGTTCCTATAAACCAGGCGGTTCCACCGAGAAGCTTCAGCTTTTTTAAACCTTTTTTAGATAAAAACAGCAGAAGAAGAAACAGCTTCCTGGTTCCTGTCAGCAGCTCTGAGGCTGATGGTTTAGATCTAAACGTTATGATCCGATCGGACCTGAGGAGGCCGTATGGTTCTGTTCCATCGCTTTTGGAATTTATAAACTTTATACTGTTTTTAGAGGCTCTGTGGAGAACAGAGATGCTCTGTCATCCTGAAGATGAATGGAGCAGCACTGGTTCTAATGGTTCTACTGGTTCTGGTCCAGCTGCCTCTCACACCACATGCTAAACTGATCCTTACGTCAAATGAAGGACAGCAGATCTTCAGCTAAATCAGAGTGAAGCTGGTAGAAAAGTTACCAGTTCGACTTTCTGCTTATCGAGGCTCACAGAGAAAAAAAATTAGTTTCTCAGAAAGTAGAGGTTGTATTTTATCTGCATGAGGATA